TTAAAAAAAAATGATCTTTGCATATGGGGCTACAAAAAGAGTTTATTAACCTCCCAAACATAAGGATTTCCAGAAGGGGCTCCACCAACAATATATGTGCCATCCTTTGTGCATGTTATTGGTCCAATGGACTCCATTGGGTAGCTCCAGACCGGTGCTTGAGGCTGAATATCAATATGTCATACAAAGAAGTAAATTGAGTTTCACAACAAAAATCTGGAACAATGTTTAATAGAACAAAATATTATCAGATCATAAACGCCAATTTACAAAGTTAACTTCCTTAATTCAATCAAAAAAAAAATTCTTGATTAGTCTGTTTTCATTATTGTTTTTCAAAATATGTCAAATTTAAGTGATTGTAACCAATGATCGCTATGATAGATGAAATTTAAAAGTAATTACTCATAGCTAGGGGTGCAATTTGAGCAGGTTCAATCCGAGGAACATGAACCCAGCTTGAATTTTTTTAGGGCTTGGACAAAATATTTTTAAATTCAGTACGAATTTGGATAAAAATTCAGAAGCCTAAATTAAATTTGGGCGGGCTTGGGCAAAAACGTCAAACAACTCAAATAACCCAATATAGAGACTAGAGAGGATCATTATAGAACACTCATTGCCACCCTTTTATGTATGTGAAATTTTGAGTGTGTAAAGTTACATCCACAAAATTATATTAAACCACATAGTGAAAAAGCCAACTAGCTGAGCTATTGCAACTTTTAATGTGTGCAAGTTAGAGATTAATGCAAACTTATGATAACTCTTTTTATTTATTTATTTATCGAACTTATGATAACTTTAACCGCACATTTTTACATGAAAATCTATTCAAGAATATATACATTGCGGCAAATAGGACCATTTGATTTTCTATAAAGTAACATCATTAGTCTATAAAAATCACAAGAAAAGTTTTAAACTGTTAAAGTTGGTTTGGATTCTCATGTCACGCTCACTAATTCTGGGTCACCACTGCCCTCAATGAGTTGGGGTCAAGCTATGGCTCAAGTCCATCTTACAGGAGTGATCGTGGATCCCCCATGTCTACGGGCCCATGTCTCACTTAATAGGTAGGGGCTCCTATGTTCATACCCAGGGATGGTTGCCACATGCTGGTTGTCCCTTTCTACACTTTTTTACAATCTTTTACGGAGTAACCAAAAAGAGGAAGGAAAAAAAAAAAGGTTTAAATTCAACAATTTCACTAACTCTTTCTACATCTAAATAGAGTATTTTTCTATAAAGCATTTTGAGAGTTCCAAACCCAAGATTTTACTGACTTGCAACAAAGACTACGGATATAGAACTAGCCACATAAAACAATCCTAGCCATACATATCAGATGGTGAGACCTATCATAAGAAAATACAATTTACTCAAATTGCTCCACTTATATGTTATGTCTATATAGTCAATTCTATTGTCTTTAGACTTATTGTACTGACTTGTGTCCTGTTAGCAAGGTTGGCTCATCCTCTAAAACAATTGAAGTATCTTCCACCACTCCAAAATCAAGTGTATTCAAGAAAATTGTTCCATCTGCAGTACCAGAAAATAACTTCTTGTCTGTTGGATCAACAACTATTGCAGTAATTGGTAGTGGAAAAGCTCGAGTTTGTAAAAGTCTTCCAGTAACAAGGTCCCATACCTACAATACGAAAATAAGTCATTTCGAGAAACAAAAATACTCTTGCTAGGAAGATATTATTATGAAACATTTAACATAATTAAGTAACCTTATATGTGCCATCGAGGGAGCTTGATAAAACATTTAACAAAAATACTTATGCTAGGAAGATATTATAAAGAGCTTTTTGTTTGTCAATTCTTGGACTGACATTTACCTAACCAGTACTAGATGCATATGATTAATAAGATAGGAAAAAGTAAGAAATGTCTCACTCCAAAAGGATTTAGGGATATTCAGGGTAAACAAGAAAAATCGAGCTAACTCAAGAAGATAATGATTCTTACGTTCAGTGACTCTATTTTGTTCAGAAACTAGTTCAACATTACGTCAATTACACCAGTGGCATCGGCGTTTGGGCTACCTTTCCTTTGGTGTTTTAGAGAAGCTATTTCCTAACTCAGTTAAACATTGCCATAGGAACAATTTTGTCTGGGATGCATGTGAATTTGCAAAACATAAACACTTTGTTTATCCACATACACAATCTACAGATTTATATAGAAATAAATATAATATAAGTTCTTATCACCAGATACTAAGTCAACCACAAGCAAGATAATAAACTAGAAGATATCTAGCACTTGTCCTAAAAACATAGATTCTTCTATTTGATAAGCTAGTTTCAGACACAAGTTGATTGAAAAGCCTGATAACAACGAAATTGGCAATGGGCTAACTTCCCGCATCACCATTAGCCTCTTAGTTGACTATAAGTTTGATCCAGGTAACAACTCTTGAACTCCAGTAGAGGTCAACCAATTCATCACTGTTTCACAAGCAGGTTGTGCCATGGTGTAAGACACAACCCAGAACATACCAATTGATCTGTCATCTAGGTTTATGTAATCCATCATGCGATCCCCTTAAACAAAAACAAAAATGTTAAAAGGAGTTAATGAAGAATCATATAGAGACATGACACTGAATTAATAAACAATTACCAAAATAATGCTTCAGAGCCAAATGCAAAAGATGATATCCCAAATATGGAATATCAAATCCTGCTCTTTGAAGTAAAAGGATAAAACAAATAAAGATTAAATGAATTAAAGTTATAGCATATATCGATAGTTTTACAGTTTAAGAAAATAAAAGTAAAGTAAAATCTGATAGAGGAAAAATCATGCCAAACGAAGTTGGGGTATGGTTGGAGCAAATCCATCTATAACTTGCCCCTACATCCATCACACTAAGTTAGAATAAAACATGTGTTCTTAAGCAATGTTGGTCTATAGGCTATCATCAAATCAAGAAAACAAGTGAAAAGTTTTTTTCCATAGGGATGGCAATTTAACCCTTTAGTTAAGAACCCATCCCTTCTGGGACAAGCTTCCAAAGGTATTAATTGGATTAGAGCCAGGTAACAGGAATAGGATTACAACCCAAACTCGGTTTGGGGTGGGGTTTGGAGTCCCTGCCCCAATCCAAGTATACATAACAAAATCACTTAACAACCACTCTACCATCATGGAAAAACAAGTACCCTTACCCATGTGCCTACAAACTAAAGCAAAACATTGGCATCAAAACATATTAAAAATGCATCAAAACTAACAAAAACACTATGAAACATACAAGAACCATAAGTTGTTTCAACACTTATCAGGAATCCCTAACAAAAGTTGTCTTTGTTTCTTATTTTGTTATTAGAAAAAAAAAATGTAAACGAAGGAAATATTTCACTATTAATTGATCATATAAGAATGCTAAAATGGAGAAGGGGATAACATTCCGTCATTTGTCACAAGTCCTATTTGGCATGGGAAAGGTGTTCGTGTCGGCCACACGGCGGTTCGGGGCCTGTTTTCAATTTTTGCTCCCGAAATGCCCTTTTTCAACTAAGTTTTGGGCGTATTCAGCTCTAAATCGCAACATATGGCTCCAAATATAATTCCGTCAGTTGTAACAAGTTATATTTGGCATGGAGAAGCTGTTTGTGTTGGCCACACGACGGATCAAGGGCTATTTTGAATTTTCACCCCCGAAATGCCGTTTTTCGACTAAATTTTGGGCGTATTCGTCTCTAAATCCCAACCTACGGGTCCGAATAACATTCTGTCATTTGTCACAAGTCCTATTTGGCATGGGAAAGGTGTCGTGTCGGCCAGACGGCGGTTCGGGGGCTGTTTTCAATTTTTACCCCCGAAATGCCCTTTTTCGGCTAAGTTTAGAGCGTATTCGGTTCTAACTCCCAACCTACGGGTTCGGATTACGTTCCGTCACTTCTCGCAAGTCCTATTTGTCATGGGGGAACTGCTCATCTGAGCCGCACGGTGGTTCGGGGGCTGTTTTGATTTTTCGCCCCCAAAACGCCCTTTTTCGACTACGTTTAGGACGTATTCGACATTGTGTGAGACAGACAATTACCCGCCAATACATTTTCATATCCTAGTTAAAATACATGCAAATTCAATTCATATGACAAGCTAATTAAGTAAATTCGTGTCAAACTAGGGAGAAAAAAAGATAATTAACCAACCAAATAAACTAATTAACTAGCAAAAGGCTTTTCAATGGAAAAATTTTCACTGTGGGGAGTATGTAAACCAATCAAATATAGCAACCATTTGAGTCAAAATCAAAGCCATAAATGCACACCCACAACCATACAAACAACACCGATATCTTTTCCTCATTAAAAACGTGGATAACATATCTATCCCATAATCCACACCTTAAAGCCTTACCACTAATAGCAGTTCCCACCATCATTTTGTGAGGGCCCAATTCCAATCCACTATCATAGAAAGAAACAAGAAGGCAACATAATTAATATCATATCTTCATACAAATAAATACAATGACAGCATAATTAATGCTTCATCACTCTCGCAAATGCAACTCTATTTCACTTTTCTAGCATAGATTTTCCATCTCACAAAATTTAAACTACTAAATGCAGTTTGAAAGTAACAGTACATGACAAAGTACAAGCAAACAAACAAACAAATCCTTTATTATAAGAATCCAAATGGAAAATCCATAACTTCCCAAACCAACAATTCATGGGGGGCCAAAGAAACAGAGTGAACTCAAAGTAGAAGCAGAGAAATAGAAACCAAAAATATTGATAAAAGCCATTAATGGGAAGCTAGAATTAGAGCAACAAGTGAATGACCCAATAGAGTATTATGCATTAGAAATCATACCTTCTGACTGTTATACATTAGAAATCATATCTACAATGGATGAACGAGAACTATCTATCACAATGAATCATTAGACATTCCACCTTTCCTCACAAACTTTGCTTTTTTAAAAAAGCTTTTTTTTACAAAAAAAAAAAAAGGAAAAAAAAAGAAGATAGATTTTTTAAAAAGACCTATTGAAGTCAGGGCACAGTAATACAATATTGCCTTTTCCTTTTACCCATAAAAAAATAATAAAAAAAATAAAAAAAATAAAAGAGTAACCGACCGTTTTAGAAAGGTTGCAAGCCTTCAACCTCAGAACCCTGGAGAAGTCATGGATTTTAACTTGTCCACTGTGAAAAAGGATGAAAATAGAGATAAAGTTGTCTTGCATTGCCACCAATTAAAACACTATTGATATAACATGAACTTAGATGTATTTGGACAAACTCAAAAAGAAACTAAAGCATTTTAGTGTTGTAGAATTCAATTAGGACAACATTCATCATATTTAGATATACAGTATGAATGTTCAATTTAGAAGCAGTACAGTATATTATTGTGGTCACAATAACAATTAACTTGAGCTCACATGTACTCAAATAATGTGTACAACAAAAAAACAGAATATTCACAGCAACAGCAGGTTTATCTAGTACGACTAATATACAACACACTGATGTTGGAGAATAACCAGAAGCACTCATGATTAGCATTAATTCCAAACTTTTCAGGGACTTGACATATGTAGGAAAAATGAAAAGAAGCAATACCATATTCTTTCAGATTAAACAATGGCATATCCAAAATGATTTGATGCAGCCACCAAAAAGCCCACATTTGCATCATTTGCATGGATGCAACATTAATTCAATGGAAGCATTTATTTTCTAAAATGACTTCAATTTTTTAGAAAAAAAATAAAATAAAAAATACACAAGATATAACAAAGAGAAAAGAAAAGAAAGAGAAAGAAAACCCTCATCACTCATCCATGATTCAAACACCCTATCCAATAATCTTATGTTAGAGAATGAAGGAAAGTTGACAGCATTGCGCAACTTGCATGAGGTAGGCATGGTGGCATTTAACAGCCAGATGAACAACTCGAACAACTTTAATTAGAAGTGTAATAATAATTGTTCCTTGCGAAGAAAATCAAGGCATACATGACATATAAATGTAAACTATGAACATCACCAAAATTAACAATTCAAGCCAACATATCTGGAATCTGCATTCATGGAAAGAAATGTATCCAGGAAGTCCATACCTTCCAAATTGCTTAAATGGAATGTCTGGCAAACAAGAGAGGTAAATCCAATTCAACATTCCTTTCAGTTGGGTAATTACTATGAAATTGGAGGTAATCCATTCACAATGAACTAGAATACTGTATACAAAGAGATGAATTTGATTCAGATGATCAATACAAAGCCTTTCATTGCACATCAGATTACAAAAAAATTATTGCCTTTTATTTTTTCAGAAATGTTTAAGATAATCTGTGGTAATCAAATTATGTGAAACTTTTCCCCGCCCCTGATTGCTTAAATAGAGCAATAGATTGCTTAAATAGAGCAACAAAAGTTTGGAATTAAACACAACTTGGACCTCATATGTGCTTCAAATGTAGAAAAAGAGTAAAACCCTAAAATGATTTTATCAAAATCCTACAGCATCAAAAATAAAATAAAACCCTAGATCCGAGATGGTGAAATGGGGAAATAGAGGAAGAGAGATAGAGAGAGAGAGAGAGAGAGAGAGAGAGAGAGAGAGAGAGACCTGAATGTGGCTGGGAGGGGGGCTGCGATGGTGAGCGACGGTGGCGAGAGCCGCGATGGTCAGCGGCGGTAGCGAGAGCCGTGATGGTCGGTGGTGGAAGTTCAATGGTAACTGTTAGCAAGGATGGTGCGTTAGGATGGTGTGGGTGAGGTTTGCTAGTGTTTGACATAGAAGTGTATATCGTGTGTCTGTGTGTGTGAGAGACAGAACAGAGTGTAAATAGATCAGGCGCCAAAAATAATTTGTTTCCCTCTAAAACAAATATTACAACTTTTAGCGGCTAAATATATTTTTGGTCGCCAAATAACAATAAAATTCTTTCTTGGCGACTAAATTTTTTTTTTGTCGCGGAAAATAAGCATTTGGCGACTAAAATTTTGGTCGCCAAAGGTAAACAAATTTTTTTTTATTTTTCATTCGGCGACTAAATGGTTTAGTAGCCAAAACTCAACATACAGTGACTAAGATTCTTTTTTTTCGCTGAGAATAAACTTTTGGCGACCAAAATTTTGGTCGCTAAAGGTAAAAAATTAATTTTTTATTTTTCTTTCGGCGACAAAATGATTTTAGTAGCCAAAACTTAATATACGGTGACTAAAATTTTTTTTGGTTGCCAATTCTATCATTTTTAGCGACTAAAATTTTTTTTAGTCGCCAAAAACCAACATACCCCGACTAAAAAAATTTAGTAGCTAAATATTTTACTTTTGGCGACTAAAAAAATTAGTTGGTCACCAATACCAATTTCATAACTTTTGGCGACTAAATTTTTTTTAGTCGCCAATTTTGGTCGCCGAATGTGCATCTTGTTGTAGTGGTAGTTTGAGGAAGAAAAAGGCGCAATACTCAAGAAATTACAGACTTACATCACTATCGCGCTGAATTATTCTACACTGTTTTGGATATGCAAATTCAAAAACTAAATGCTCGTTTCACTGAGTCAAACACCGAGTTGTTACTTTGTGTGGCACATTTGAATCCATTTAACTCTTTCTCTAGTTTTGACAAGAACAAGTTAATTCATCTTGCCGAATTTTATCCCAAAGAATTTTCTTTAGTGGAGCTCATAGTACTTAATAATCAACTTGATATATATACATATATATTATCAATATGCTATCCAGTAGTGAGTTTTCAAGGTTGAACAGAATTGTCGATCTTGCTAGGAAAATGGTGGAGATTGGAAGAGACAAAATATATCCATTGGTGTATTTGCTCTTGACTTTAGCATTAATTTTACGTGTTGCAATTGCTACTGTTGAGAGGGTATTTTCAACTATGAATATTGTGAATAATCGGTTGCGGAACTGAATGGGTGATGAATGGATGAATGATAACTTGGTTGTCTACATTAGGAGAGATATTTTTTATGGCATTGACAATGATACTATCATGGAAAGATTTCAAAAAATGAAAACTCATCGGAGTCAATTGTAAAAGTTTAAAATTAAAAACTTTTTGTAATGAATATTAATTTTTAATGTTTAATATTAACACGAAACATTATTATTATGTTATTGTTATTGATTGGAGGAAAAGAAAATTTGAGATTATAATTAATAAGTGGTCCCCCTATATTAAATTTCTGACTCCGCCATTGCCTATCCCACTCTTCGAGGTAACTAAGCTGCTAGAGACATTTACATGCAGTGGATAAATTCCCACACTACCTACATCCTCATATATAGTTGCATGAACGAAGATCATAAAGCATGGGTGAAGTCATAGCTAGAGATGGCAACGGATGGGACTTGGATTGGGCCTCTTTTATCCCACTCTTACCTTCATTTTTGTCGCTTGTTCCCACCCTTGACCTGACCCTTATAAAACTCTCCCCCATCTCCACTCAAACCTGTAAATGTAACTTTCACTCTATCGGATCTGTAATACAATAAAAAAAATAATAATAATATTAAAAATTAATAATTAAAACTAGAAAAGAATATTTATAATTAAAAAATTTATATATTGTACACATATTAAAATTATATTATATTTATAACGTAATAGAAATTCAATAATACATGGATATTATATATTTTCTATAAAAATTCAACAATATATTATACACATTACATATATGTGTAATATTATTATTTATTTATTACTATATTTGCAGGTCGGGTAGGGTTCAGGTAAAAAACATTTTCTCCCTGTCTCTGACCTAAACCTAATTGGATTATTCAAATGTTTTTCTAAATCAGACGTTACCCTATTTAACTACCTGAACCCATCCCATTAAGGGCGAAGAGAGTCGAGAACCGGACGGGTCAAGATATTTTGTCTTCCTTAGGCATTGGGGATAAATGGAAGTATTGAAGAGTGGGAATAGAATGATTAGCATGGTTTTAGCCCCAATCCACGACCAAATGTGGTAAGCGGATGGTTTTAGTGCATAATGGACATGTGACAAAAGTTGAAATGTGGGACAGATGGCAAGCCATTAGCAGAGATATCAAGATCAAACGCCCATAATTTATTTTCCACATCATGAATTGTGCGACTATTTTTTATGTAGAACAAACAGAACCTTCTGCAAAAACTTGGCACATGTAGCATTAACGTTCTTCCTTGATGGGCTCCTTGGCTCATTTGCTTGCCTCTTTTTGCCTGCTAGTTTTTTTGCTTTTGGTGGGTTCAGTTATTGGCAACCAATTTGCACATACTCATACATGTCTGGAGCTAGATGTTTCTTGTAAGCATAAGTGACCAAGTACCTACACTAGTTGTAATATTGATGACCATAATCTTCTAGGTTCTCATGATTGATTTGAATGGTATTGATAGCATGACAATAAGGCATACTCTCTTGTGATTACATGTCTTAGTGCTTAGATCTACTATGTACCTCCTATCATAATGATCAACCTCAAATTTTGGTTGCCCACACCATGTTGCAAAGCAATTCTTAGATTCCACCTTGAACTTCTCAAGCATCTCATGAATGTTAGGATAAATGCCACTAACATATTTTTCCATTTCATTCTTCTTAATCTGTATTCTCTTTATTAATTTCTTTCTTATCCACTTAAACATAGAGATTATTGGCACATCTCTACCTTCTAGAATGTAGGAATTAAAAGACCCACTCATATATATATATGTGTGTGTGTGTGTGTGAGTGTATACATATGTATATATAGTATAAAACT